TCTCGGTTGCGCCAGGCCCTACTTGGGCTACTCAGACGTGGCTTCGCATCTCCGCTTGCGTTGTCCGCCGTGGTCGGGCACTGCACCTGGGGGATGATCACCAACAGGCCCATGCTCTCCATCTTCCACGCAGTCTACCGCTTCACGGGTCAGGACTCACGGCGGGCTTTGCCGCTGTGGCCGCCAGTCGTCTCTGAGCTCCGTGCCGCTGCTTCCCTCATCCCGTTGTGGTGGGCTGATGTCAGGGCTGAGTGGGCGGCCACCACCTTTTGCAGCGACGCCTCTCCATACGGCATTGGCGTGTGTCGCAAGTTCGTGGAACAAGAGGTCGTTGCTGCCGCAGGTCGACGGTCTGAGAAATGGCGCTACCGTTTCTCCGATGCCGTGCACGCCCGCGCCCACGCTCTGGGAGTCGACCCGAACGTCGTGCTGGAAGCTGCCGTGAGCAAAAGAGGCCTCAAAGACTGCGAGCAGCGCCCGAGGCCTCCTGAGGCCCAAAGCAAGCCCTCGCCCACCGCATCATCATCACCTCGAGGGCTCGACGAGATTTCGATGGACGGCTTCGACGAGGTTCCCGACTCGATCACGGCTTCCGACGGCTGGTCTACGATATATAGCGCACGGCATTCGAGGTTCGGTTTGGACATCATGCGATACGAGGCGGAGGCTCTCGGATTTGCGATGCGACACTCGTCTCGGTCTGGGCGGCTTCGGCATCATCGCATCCTGTTCACCGTCGACAATTTGGCTCTAGCCTTTGCTGCTGGCAAGGGACGTTCTGGTGCCCGAGGGCTTCGCGATCCACTACGACGCCTCTGTGCTCTGTCCGCAGCTTGCGGCATTCGCCACGCTGTGCGATGGATCCCTAGCGAGAGCAATGCCGCAGACTCGCCGTCGAGGACAGGTTTCCTTGTCGGGCCGACCTTCGAGGAGCACCAAGCGGCTGCACCCCGAGTTTCGGCGCCAGCGAGCCACGACCGTGACGGAGCAGAGGACCAAGACGCATCCAGGACCACAACGGCTCGGGCGGGGTGCGCTCTCGGTCCTCGAGTCAGCTGCCGTGTCGGACACAACCATGGCCAACTACTGGGGCGCCGCCAAGAAGTTCGAGGTGTGGTGCCGCTGGACGTCCCAGACCTTCACCACGGCGGCGGAGGTCGATGTCATCCTAGTTACCTACTTCGTGAACCTCTTTCTGGACGGCTTCGACAGTGCTACGGGCCGAGTCCTGCTCGCCTCCTTGAAGCACTACCTGCCTTCGATCCTGGTGGGCAGGACGCCGTGCCCGCGTGCAGCTCGCGCCTTGACAGGCTGGCGGAAGCTCGTGCCCCCGCAGATGCGACTACCCCTTCCGCGGGCGGCGATGGCCTCCATCGTGGGCGTCCTCATCTCGTGGAAGCTCTTCGGCATGGCAGTGTTCGTCAGGCTGATGTTCGACACCTACCTGAGGCCCAGCGAGGCCTATCGGCTAACAGCGGGCAGCGTTATTCGACCAAGACCCGATGCCGCCCGCGGGTACGGACATTGGGCCCTGATCGTCAACGACGCCTGCCTCGATCGTCCTGGGAAGACAGGGGAGATGGACGAGAGCGTGATCGTCGACAACCCGACGCTCTGGCCCCTTCTCGACGCGCTGGTGCTGGGCAAGAAGACGAGCGACGGCCTCTGGACCTTCGCCCCCGACGAGGTGCGGAGCATGTTCCGTCGTGCTGCCGCTGCGCTCGGGTTGGAGGCCGAGATGACGCTCTACTCCCTTCGGCATGGGGGTGCGTCCGACGACCTCCTGTCTCTCCGACGCACCAGGAAGGAGGTCAAGGACCGCGGCCGATGGAGGACGGACCAGAGCCTCCTCCGCTATGCCAAGAGGGCTCGTATGCAGCAGCGGATCGCCTCCCTAGGCCAGAACCTGATCGACTTCGGGCACGCGGTCGACTCGCAGATGAACGATCTCATTCTGCAGACCACCTCCTCAGGCGTCTTCCCGTTGCAAGTGCCGCTTGCCGTGACGCCGACACCGCCAGCGGTCAGGCCTCCGCCCCCGCGAGCGACAGCGCGGTGGGCCTTCGCCTGACGAGGATTTGGCGTGCAGCCAGGCGTGCTGCGACGCGGTCCAGGTACTCGCCCGCTCTAGTAATTGGCGGCGACGGCGGCGCGGCTCGCGCTCTGCAGCGCCTCGGCTTTGGCGTGCTGCACTTGAATGTGAGACGCCATGTTACTGATGACATCACAGATCCTTTAGTGATGAAGCGCGTGCTCGGATGGATTCGCGCAGGCTGTATCTCGTGCGTGTGGGTGGAGCCCGACACGACTACGTGGCTCCCTCAGAAGCCCGCTGTCCGTAGCAAAGCTCGAGCCAACGGCCTGCCGAGTCTGTCCAGTGCCCAGCTTCGATCCGTTGCCATTGCGAATCTGTTTCTCAGTCATTTTGTGCGCCTTCTGTCAGTGTGCAGTGACAATAAGGTTCCAGCCGCGCTGTGTCATCCAGATGCGTCTTTCATCTGGGATGTCCCTTCTTGCAAAGCTATAGTTAGCCAATGTTCGTCTGCTGCAGTCTTCGATGCATGTATGTTCGCTGGCCGTATAAAGAAAAGATTTCGATTAGTGAGCTGGCATGTACAAGACATGAGTTCTCTTTCTGCTATCTGTTCGCCGGCCGACTCGCGTTGCTGCCGATCTGGGAAACGGCATCTTGGCGAGCTCGGCATCCCATCTTTAGATCGGCAGGTACGCAGCAAAGCGCTGCGGCTCCCCGCTAATGTTCTAAGATGCGCCTGCGACAGGATGGCTCTCAGTGTTGATTCGCTTCGCTACATTGCTCGGCAGATCAGAGCTGTGTGAATTCAGTTAATGCGGCTTTCAAGCCAGTGGGATGGGCTAGCCTAGGTACCTGGTGCATCGCGACAGCATGCGTCCGCTGTCCTCGCCTGTTGCCGAGTCCTTTGCACAAAAAGATAGCCCCTGGCCTCCAGAGTTGCCCACATATTGCTGCCCGCGGCTTTTTGTGGCTCTCTTTCGGGCCGCACTTCCATTCTCAAGCTTCTCCCGCCCGCCCTGTTTCCCGCTCTAGAATGTTGTACCTGGTGCATCGCGACAGCATGCGTCCGCTGTCCTCGCCTGTTGCCGAGTCCTTTGCACAAAAAGATAGCCCCTGGCCTCCAGAGTTGCCCACATCATCATCATCATCATCATCATCATCATCATCTCCATCATCATCATCATCGTCATCATCATCATCATCATCATCATCTTCTGTTCGCTCGGGTCATGGACCTGCATGAGAAGTGTCCGCGCGTTATTGCGTCCGCTGGGATGTGTTGTCCGGTCGGGAACCGAAGTGAGGTCGCCTGAGTATTGCCAACAAATTGCGGGTGGGTGGGTGGGATTCGAATGTCCAGGAAGAATTTGTCGAGTGTTTTGTTATGGAGGTTGGGCTTCTTATGTGCACAAGAAAAATTAGATTATACCCCCAGTTTCTTTCCCCCAACTGAGTTTAGTACGCACGACTTTTCATGATTGTTCGAATGTTACACGATTGTCAACACATACAATGCGGTTGACACGCGTTTTCTTACCACGTGTTTTATATATGTTTAGAATCGTGCAATGCAGTCCGCATGCGGGAACACGTGCCCAAATCCGTCCAGCATTGCTTGACCCGAGTGATTTCTCAAGAAAACATGTCGAAAACATTGCCGTGGCATCCCAATAACTATAGAGGTTGTGTGCGCACGCATTCGCTAGTAACATATCAAGACCATCCGATTATGCCCCTCTGCCAATAGAGACCATGCGGCCGTTCCGTAACCATTTTGACTCAAGCCGTGACGACTCGAGGCTTTGGCTCTGCTGTGTCCGCAGTGGCGGTCGCCCCCCCAAGGCTGCCAAGGCTTGCCGCACATGGCCGTCATCCACAGGGTGGTGGTGGTCCTTGCATACCTGCTGCATGTTGCCACTGTGGCTAGCCTTGCTCAGTGTTCTTCAGTGGCTGACTGTGAGACTCCCACATCAATGCGGGTCATGAACTTCAGCGAGCCTGGCTTGTGCTACGCTGCACCCATGAGCAGAACTTTCAAGAACCATTGGGGTCAGATCAAGGAAAACGTTGAGCACGGGATGCGATCGGCCTCGAGCATGAAGGTCATATTTGCCGGCCTCGTCCGCAATGCCGAGAAGTTCGTGGTGAATAACTACGTAATGCTGAGAAACCTCGGTCTGCACTTCAAAGACTACCAGTTCTTCGTATTCGAGAGCGACTCTACCGACGACACTCCTTACGCTGTGAGCCTTCCGTCTCCTGTGGATGCACGTTATAGCTTCCGGTCGAGAGTTTTGAACATGTCGGACGAGCGGGGGTTGGAGAGGTCCAGGATGGAGCGGATGGCGTTTTTGCGGAATGTGGTTCGTGATTGGATCGAGGATTTTGTCAGCACGCGCACAGGTTGGGATTTAGTTGTCCTGTATGACTTCGATAATGCGGTCGCTCCGCGTGCCATCCCACCTCATGCGTTTTTCAATGCGTTGGGTCGGCAGGAGACTCGAAATGGAGAATGGGACATGCTTTGCGCTAACGGTCTGAGGCATCCATGCGGCAGCACCGAGTGCCAGGTTGGCCACTACGATTGTTTTGCCTTCCGGGATGCGAATTACGATTCGTTTAATGTTGCTTGCCAGAACGGTTTGGCCGCGAACATGTTTACCCAGTACGACCTGGTCCCCGTGCACTCGTGCTTCGGGGGGCTGGCCATGTACAAGACCCACCAGTTCCTGGATTGCCACTACAACTCGAGCGCGTACGATTCCGAGCACGTCGGGCTCCACAGCTGCATGCGCCACCAGGGCAGCGACGGCCGCATGTTCATGGACCCTCTCTTGACGGTTGTTGCCGATCCCATCACCCCGCTGGTTTGCACCGCGGACGCCGTGGCTTGCTGAGCCGAGCGTCGGCATTGTGCTGCGCGGGTCTTTGGCGCGCCTGGCCGCGGACGAGGGGGAGGGGGAGGATGCATGTTTGGGGGGGAGGACGACGAGCGGCGGTTGGCGCGGGCCCATCTGCGACTCATTTGAACACAGCGTTAGTGTTATCGATTCGGGAAGCGGGGACGACGACCCGATGCCGGTTGCGATGGCATAAGGTTCTCCTGGAAGTCACTTTTTGTGTGATAGTTTGACCAGGCCACGGTGCCGGTTCTTCTTTGCACATGTGCAATTTCTTGTTTTCCGATCTCGTAGCCCCAAAGCACGGGTCATATCCATGGGTTCGCGAGCGATGCGTTGGCTCGCTCGTGATGCGTTGGTACACTCTTCAGGGGAAGTTGCACGGGCCCTCCTGATACAGAAAAGAGACCATGCTGCCGCACGCGCATGCGTGCCGAAAGCCTTCAACAGTCATCGCGCACCCGAACATTCAGCCAAACAGTTCCATTATTGCACACGTTGGCGCCTCCGCGCACGCGCGACGAAATCTGTCCAAGCCCATACGTGTTCGAAGCACTTCAAATACAGATTGATTCAACACGCATGTGAAAACCAATGGATTTACTAAAAATCTGCCAGAGTTTCTGAATGTATGCGTTCGCGCACGTCCCCATCGCCCTCATCAGCACCAGCTGTATCATCGCAACGTCGCCACCATCGGCATCATTTGCCCGCCCGAGCCAAAGATCTGGATGATAGGGGTCCTCGCGTCATTACGCCAGTTGGTTCCGCCAGCACGACGAGCATTGGGGGTGACCACACGCGAGGAATACATGCATCAATTGTACCAAACAGCATGCGACATGTAGCTTGCACGCTCAAGTTTGCCTTGCATAAGTTACACCACGTGGATCGCACCCCGTAGCTCTCACCGCTGACGTTGCACCCCATACGTTGCACCGCATAGCATGCGCCACATAATTCGCACCACATTCTGGAACGCGACACGTAGGTTGCACCATACAATTCGCACCAGAAACGTGACAACCCGACACGTCAAAAGCCCATCATATGGGTTATTGTTGGGTTGCCGAGGGTGTTGTGTCTTGAGCTGCCGTCGCCCGAGGGCACATCCAATGGCGACCAAGCCGAATACATTATCATCCCTTCGTTGATTGGGTTGCGTGCTTGCGGTGTTCTTCCGTGGATTGGTTTCATCGCATTGTTGAATTCCCGCTCACTTGATTGCGCGATTGTTTGTGCGGACGACTGCGGTTTGATTACAGGTTCGTGCGTGTTGTTTGCACGAGTGTTTGCATTTTGTTTTGCCATGTATTGTTCGTGATGAGTGTCGTGCGATGTCGTACACCATTGCGCACATGCATATTCGGTTGTTAGCGTGATTGTTGGCATCAGTGTTTCATTGTGATTAGTGTTATTCATTCATTAGTTGGTTGTTTTTGTGCGTGCTTCAAGACTTGCGTGCAGGCTTGTTTGTTTGGTCGCCCGCTTGTCATTGCCGTCGCAATGATCCGTAGCGTCGTATTTGGAGCAACGTCTTGTAAATAGTCGATTCGTAGCGGGTAGATTCAAGCAAAGTTATGTTATTATTCCCAGCCGTGTTCCATTGGAGGTTAGATGTTGTTCGTCACAGCGTGACGGTACGTGAAAGTTGGGCGAATTCTCGAGATTCAAGTTTTATGTTTCCCTAGTCGTGATCACCTCTTCGTCGCGATAATAGAGATTGTTATGTGTTTTGTTGTTTTGGGTAGACCCGTCGTTTGGAGTAGGGACGCGTTCATTACCCGAGTCCAAATCAAGTCCAAATCAAATCAATTTATGTTTCCCCAGTCTTGCTCTTCAGCCAATCCTCTTCCGACGGCCTCTTTGCGGCCCTAGAAGCGCGAAAACCGTTACAGCAATTCCATCCTCTTTCTTTGGCCGCCTCGCCCAGGCTCATCAGGCTGGCCTCCCGCGTCGACGATTCCCTGCCTAGCCTGGGCGATCTCTGGGAGGTCTCCTTGGAGGATCGTGCGCCAGCAGGAGGAGGAAGGGAGGGAGGAAGGGAGGGTCGAGGAGGGAGGGAGGGAGAGAGAGAAGGCGGGTCGAGTAAGGAGAGGGAGAGGGAGGAAGGGAGGACGAGGGAGAGGGAGGAGGGGAGGGAGAGGAAGGGTCGAGGAGGGCCATCGGGCGGTGCGCAGCAGGCGCCGTCGGCCTTCCCTCTCCTTGCTTATCTTTGTTTGCCGTCGGGTTTGGGGGGGTGCTTGTCGCCGCTGCCGGACGCAGCTCGACAGCACTGCGCTCACGTACCCCAGGTTTGGACGCCCGAAATGGGCACGGAAAGAATGGGTACAACGCCCAACAGCAAATGCTGCCCCAACCCAGCAGCGGCCGCTGTTGGGCAGGCGGCCTCCTGTCTCAAATGGACACAGGCCGCGGCGGCGCGGACAGCGAGTCCTGTCCAAAATGAACAGGAACTGCTGTTGGGCATTGTACCCGGCATCGCTCGGACGTGTGCATTTGCTTCTCGGCGAGAACCATCGAGGAGCATCCTTGATCACTCGGCGAAAAAAACATGCACGAGACCGAAAAAAAACACCGGAAATGGACGTCCGAGCGATGGCGAGTGCACCCATCCTGTCCGTACCCGTCTCGTTCGTGCAGGCGGGAGGTGCTTCCGGGGACCGGTCTCGGCCGGATCGTTGCGGGTGGAGCGGCGGGCCCTGCAGGAGCACTGTGGCGCCCCTGTCGGGCCCCTGCTGGCTCCAAGAGGGGCCTGCTCTTCACCCCCAGGAGGGGCAGGACGAGAAGGAGGAGGAAGACGGTGAGGGCGAGGAGGCCGAGGAGGACGAGGAGGAGGAGGAGGAGGACGATGAGACACAGGGCGAAGGTGGGCGTTCGAAGAAGTCAGGGGGGGGGGCTCTCGGAAGCTTCCCGGGTCCTGCTAGAGAAGCTCTCAGGAGCTTTCTGCGGCCGTCTTTTTTGCGGTGCTCTCTTGGAGCCCTCCTGGCGTCTCGTCCACGAGGCACCCGCAGAACATTCCGAAGCAGGCAGGGGGCTCTCGGAAGCCCCTTTGCCGTCTCACCAAAGACCACCGAGCGCGTTACACTACTCGCAAAGTGCCTACTTGCAAACGTCCGAAAAAAAGATGTCAGCTTTGAGAATCACAGGTTTCGAAGGTCCGCGTGGATTTCTTGGATCGGCGCTGGACCCCCTATACCCTGTCGCGCGGAGCGCGCCAGGGGCGGTGCCAGAGGCACCCCCCAGGGGGGCTCAGCGCCGACCCGAGAAAGCCGCGCGCAGCTCCGAAAGGGGATGTTGATTCATCTGTTCGTGCTTCTCATCAGCAACGATGGGCTGGAGCAGGGCTGGACCTAAACGGTGTTTTTGCGTTTTCGTGGGCCGTTTTCGTTTCGATGTCGTTTTGCGCTAAAGGCGAATCGAAGACAAAACAAGGGAAAACGAAAACAAAACGAAAACGAAAAACACCGTTTAGGTTCAGCCCTGGGCTGGAGGCCTCAAAGCAGGCGGTGGAGCGCTGGGCTTTAAGCCGCGGCGACCGCAGAGTCGCCTCGCGTTTGCGGGGTGCTCGGGGCCAGCGGAGGCTCCTCAAGGACGGGCCGCCAGAGTCAACGGGGGCGAGCTCCCGCACATGACGACTGGCCTTGGCATCGCTCGGACGTGTGCATTTTTTTCTCGGCGAGGACCTTCGAGGAGCATCCTCGACAATCTGGCGAAAAAAACACGCACGGAACCGAACAAAAACACAGGGAAATGGACGTCCGAGCACATGACGACTGGCAAAACAACGGTCGAGGGCGCAAATAGCCGCGTCAGGCTCGAGAAGTGCCTTGCTCGCCATGGCTGGTCGGAACGTGCGCCCCGCGCTCTGGTGCAAGGGCGTCGCCGCGGTGCACGCGGGCGTGATGCCCGCGCGGGGGGGGGCTCGAAGAAGAGCCGCCCACGCGGTTGGAGGCGCTGGCGCGCTGGCAGGGCAGCATGCGACGTCTTGAGGCCTCGGGTGCCGCCTGAGCCACCGCACGCGGATGCTCCAGACGACTCGCGCCCAAGTCGGCTCGTGCGCCCGCGCTTGCCGCCACGAGCGGCACCGCAGGTGCCAGTCGCGACCCCAGCCGTGCACCCCCCCAGCTTCTAGCGCCGCGCAGGACTCCTGGTGCCGCTCGAGAAGTGGAACCGCTGAGGCTCTCGCCCCGTCGTTGGCTGCCCAGGCCGCGCCAGCTTGCTTCCGAGGGTCCTTGGGCGCTCGGTTCTGCACGCCGAGCCCCATGCCGCGTCCGGCACCCAGCTTGCACTCGTCCCCGATGCTGGCGCGTGCAGGCCTGCCCTCTCTGTCGCTGCGACCTGCTTTCCCTGCGCCGTTCCCTCCCATGCTGGCCTCCGCGCTGGCCTGGTTGAGCTCCTCCCCCGACCTGCCCCCGACTGTACTCCAGATTTCGCCATAGAAGGGAGGGGGTCACAACCCTCACAGACGGGCAATTCCAGACCCCCCCAAACAAGCCATGAAGGTGAGGCCTCTTGCCCAGACCCACTGGAACCCTCCAAGACAGCTCAAATCTGACCCCATCCCAAATCAGACCACCCCCCTTTTACTGTGAAATCTGGAGTACGCTTTGATCGTAAACGTGTGCCTCGATTGTGCGTGACTGCAACTTGCAACCTCCAGCAGAATATGCCCGGACGTTTTGCATGAAAAAATCATACTTTCTCGGGCCCTCGCGCGCGCTCGGTTTTCGCGGCCACGCGGCCAGGCCAACCCTGGTCGCTGGCGCCCTTCTCCTCCTCTTTCTGCGGACCGAGGCCCTTCTGGACGCAGCCAGTTTTTGACCTTGACTCCGCCTCCTGCAGAGCTGCTGCGCTGGGACGGGCCAGTTGTTTCCTCGCATGCGCCGCGGCAGAGCCGCTCCATCGCCATCTCCCACAGTGCTCGTCGAATATGAGATCGACTACAAAATTCATGCACTTCGAAAATGCTCGTTCCGTCGAACCTGCGAGGAATAAGTAGAGCTGTCCTTAGCTCCAGCGAGCCTCCTACACATGTCTCGTGGATTCAGCGGAAAACCAATGT